ACCCCAAACATGGCCCATGGGGTGCCAACCCCACCCAAACATGGCCCATGGGGTGCCAACCTCACCCCAAACATGGCCCATGGGGTGCCAACCTCACCCCAAACATTGCCCATGGGGTGCCAGTCCCGCCGTTGGTCCCTGTTGTCCTCCCACCTGGTTCCACAGAGCCCAGGGGAGCTCCTGGCAGGGATGGGCTCCTCTGGAGCAGATCCAGATCCCTGGGGATCCCTTCCCTGGCTGAAATGGCCGTGGCAGAGCTCGGCTGAGGGAGCAGAGCCTGGAATCTGTGTGGCAGTGCCCAGGCTCTGCTGGGGGGTCCTTGCTTATCCCACCCTGTGTGGGGTGTTTTTCAGTGGGATTTTGAACCTTTCCTGTCCGAGGGGAGAGCCCGAGGTGTCCTGCAGGGCTGTGTGGTTCCAGCCTGTGCTCGGGACCAGCAGGATTCACCTTGGGAAGGGGCTCGTGGCTGGAGGGGAGGAAACGTGGAGAGAAATCCTCAAAAAGCTCTGTAACAGTGGAGTTTGGGTTTGGAAATGGAGAATATTCTGCCTCCCCTGTGCTGGGGGGGGCTGCAGGAAGGGCTCCACCCTCCCTGGCTGATTCCATCAGCCCCGGGGCACTGGGATCCCGTCCCATTCCCTGGGTTTGAGTGGCTCTTGTTCCTGGTCTCTGTGCTGGGTGGAGCTGTGCTGGGATGTCCTGTGGGACCTCCTGATCCTTTGGCCTCACACCGGCACTGGGCAGGGGTTAGGATGGAGTCAGAAGTTGGGATGGAGTGGGTTGGTTTGGAAGGGACCTAAAGCCCATCCAGTTCCACCCAAGGACACCTTCCATTATCCCAGGTTGCTCCAAGCCCTGTCCAACCCAGCCTTGGACACTTCCAGGGATCCAGGGGCAGCCACAGCTTCTCTGGAAAATCCATTCCAGTGCCTCACCACCCTCTCAGGGAGGAGTTTCTTCCCAGTATCCCACCTCCCCCTGCCCTCTGTGTGAGGGGTTTGTGGTCCCCAAAGCACCAGGAACACAAACACCCCTGGTCTGAGCTGTGTCTGGGAGGAGGCACAACAGAGATGTTCCCTGTTCTACCCCCCTGGGAGAGCCAGGATCACCCCAGGAGGGCAGGCTGGGCATGTCCAAGGGGCTCTGGACCTGCTGCAGTCGATTTAACTCCGATTTGCCTCTATTTTGGGAAAAATAAGGGCAGAGGGCGGGTGCTGCTCCTGCCCGGCTGTTCCCCTGCCCAGCCGTGGGTGGAACCACACACCTGGTGAAACCTCAACAAATCCAATTTCCAGGAGTAAAATAAAGTCAGGAAATTTAATTTACACAGCCAGAGGTGAGTGCTGCAGAAACAGGGTCTGTGAGGAGACCAGCAGGGCCTGGGGGCACCCGGTGCTTCCCTGGGGCACCAGCTCCCCTTTTCCCATTCCTGGGTTCAGCCTCGGCGCTGGGTCCCAGTGATTAATTAACAGCCTCTTAAGCGCTAATGAAGCAGCTCCAGGCCCTGCTGGGGCTCCCTGGACTGTGGGGAACTTGCTCCTTGTTCATTTTCCCTTTGTTTCCTTAAAACTGGGTTCCTGCCTTGGTGAGCTCTTGAATTTTTGCTGTCTCACCCTCTGGAGCTGGGACCTTTAATCGTGGAATCCTGGAATCCTGGAAGGGTTTGGCTTGGGAGGGACCTTGGAGCTCATCCAGTGCCACCCCCTGCCCTGGTGGCACTAGGACCAGGTTGCTCCAAGCCTCATCCATCCTGGCCTTGGACACATCCGGGGATGGGGCAGCCACAGCTGGTCTGGGCACCCTGTGGAGCTTCCCTTCCCCGGTGGATTATCCATGAATTCTGGCTGCTCCCAGCTCCTCCGGAGCAGTGTGAGGTCCCAGCCTTCCTGGGGGTCACGAGTGGCACAGGCAGGGCTGGGTGTCCCCACTGTCACCTGCACATGGTGACAATCTGGGAACCACCTGGGGAGGTGCTGGGGGGTAGGTGAGAGCTGAGGGCTCCCCACCCCCGGGATGTGCCCCTGAGCCCTCCCCTGTGCTGTGTTCCAGCCCACCCGCACCCCCACGGCCGGGGGCACCGCCGGGCCCTCGGGGTCGGCCTCGGCCTCGGGGGGGGAGATGAGCAGCAGCGAGCCCGGGACCCCCGCCCAGACCCCGCTGGTGGCCCCCGTCATCCCCACGCCCGGCCTGCCCTCCCCGGGGGCACCCCCCGTGCCCTCGCCCACCAAGGTGAGTCGTGCCCAGGTGAGTTGTGCCGGGGGCTCTCCCTCCTGCCCACCCGGACACTCTGGCATTTCCCAAATTTGGGGGTTTCCAGTCCTTACATCAGCAGAGTTATTCCTGCCTTGATCTCTAAAGTCGTTCCTCGTCACTTCTATCCTGGTTTGATTCATTAATTAATTAGGGCTTGGGAGAGATTTGGGGCACGAGGGTGGGGAGGGAATAGTGGGAGCTGGTCCCGGGGTTGGGTACGGAGGGGAGGGGGTTGGGGGAGGCACCAGGGGGTGGGAAGAGGGGATGTTCCCCCCCATGTCCCCGGTTCCCTGAGCTCTCTGGGAACTGGTTTCTGTACCTGGCTGCAGAAATGGTTTTATTGGTGGTGCCGCTGGCATTGGAGTGTCCAGGGCTGGGGGAGCACCAGAGGGGGAATCTGGGGGGGTTTCCCATGTTGTGTAGGGTTTTTCCAAGGCCTGTTCCTTGCTGTCCCTAGCTTTGGGAGTTGAAGCTTTATCCATGGAGCTGCTGCCAGGGAGCAGGGTCAGGTCCCCTCATCCCTGCAGCCCTTCCCTGGGTCCTGCTGTGCTGGCTCAGCCTTTCCCTGCCCCGGGAGCTGAGCTGCTGGAAAAGGACCTGGATCAGTTTTCCCTGGGGTCAGATCACCTGGGAATGGCCTGGATGCTGCAGCGGGAGTGAAGAGTGCAGGGTCATCTCAGGGGGAGCCAGAGGCATCACTGCCAGGGATGGGGCAGCCACAGCTGCTCTGGAAAAATCCATTCCAGGGCCTCCCCACCCTCCCAGGGAGGAATTCCTTCCCAATATCCCATCTAGCCCTGCCCTCTGGCAGTGGGAAGCCATTCCCCCTTGCCCTGGCACTCCGGGCCCTTGTCCCTCTCTTAAACTGCCCCAAACTTGATGCCAAAGGTCAGGGCAGGTTCCATGGGGTTCCAGGAATGTCCCCAGAGCCCTGTCCAAGGGATGTCCCTGCTCCTTTCCTAACTCTTGGCTTGCTGCTGCAGGAGGAGGAGAATCTCCGTGCCCAGGTCAGGGACCTGGAGGAGAAGCTGGAGACGCTGAAGATCAAACGGAATGAGGACAAGGCAAAGCTCAAGGAGCTGGAGAAGTACAAGATCCAGCTGGAGCAGGTGCAGGAATGGAAGAGCAAAATGCAGGAGCAGCAGGCCGACCTCCAGAAGCGCCTGAAGGAGGCCAAGAAGGTCAGTGGGTGTCCCTGGGAGAGGGGCAGCGCTGGGAGAGGTGACTCCGGGGGGAATTCCAGCCTTGATTGCCTTTCCATGAAGAAATCTTCCCAGTATCCAACCTAAACCTCCCCCCATACAACCTGAGGCCACTTCCTCTGCTCCTGATCGGCGTCGGGTTTATTTGGGAATTGGGCTGAGGCAGGTGGGATGTTGCTTCCCCTCTTCCCTCTCTCCAGGTGCTTCCCCTCTCTCCAGGTGTTCCCTTTCCCCCCCTCTCTCCCCATGGACAGGTGTCCTTGTCCTGGCCCCTGTGCCTGCAGTTCCCAGCACTCCATCCCAGCAGCCAAGGACCATTTCCTTCTCCCTGCCCCGCTTTTCCAGGGCGGATTCCTGGTTTGTTTCCCCTGGGGATTTATTTGTCTGCTCCAGTATTCCCTGTCTCCATGCCTTCACCCTCACCTGGAGATGGTTTTCCTGCCGTGGGTGGAGCAGGGAAGAGGGGAGTGGGACACCCTGGGGCTGTCCCCTCTCCCTGGATGAGCTGGCGTTGCTTGGATTTGGCCTGCTCTGGGAGAGCCCCAGGGGACACTGACGGCCTGAGGCCCGCTGTGGGGTGTCCCCAGGCTGCCCTGGGTGTGCCCTGACCCCACTGTGCCCCGCAGGAGGCCAAGGATGCCCTGGAGGCCAAGGAGAGGTACATGGAGGAGATGGCGGACACGGCCGACGCCATCGAGATGGCCACGCTGGACAAGGAGATGGCCGAGGAACGCGCAGAGTCCCTGCAGCAGGAGGTGGACTCCCTCAAGGAGAAGGTGGAATATCTCACCATGGACCTGGAGATCCTCAAGCACGAGATCGAGGAGAAAGGTGGGGCGGGAGAGGGGCTTTGGGAAAGGCCCTGGAGGGACAGGACGAGGGGGAATGGCTTCCCACTGCCAGAGGGCAGGGTTAGGTGGGATGTTGGGAAGGAATTCCTCCCTGGGAGGGCGGGGAGGCCCTGGAATGGATTTTTCCAGAGCAGCTGTGGCTGCCCTATCCCTGGAAGTGTCCAAGACCAGATTGGAGCAACCTGGTCTAGTGGAAGGTGCCCCTGCCTGTGGCAGGAATTAATGTCCCCTCCCACCCAAAGCAGTCTGGGATGCTGTGATTCCACGGTTCTTCCCTTGCTCCGCAGGCTCTGATGGAGCAGCATCCAGCTACCAGGTGAAGCAGCTGGAGGAGCAGAACGCCCGGCTCAAGGAGGCTCTGGTCAGGTGGGAGCCCAGCTCTGCTTCCCAAAGCTCCTTCCCGGGCCCCTCGTGCTCCCCCAGGCCCTCCCTGGAGCAGCCCGTGGGATTCCTGCTGCTGGGCAGTGCCTGGGGAGGGAGCAGGGCCTCGTCCTGGGCTGGGCCCTGACGGGAGCTGTGGCTGCCCCAGGATGAGGGACCTGTCGGCCTCGGAGAAGCAGGAGCACGTGAAGCTGCAGAAGCAGATGGAGAAGAAGAACACGGAGCTGGAGTCGCTGCGGCAGCAGCGGGAGAAGCTGCAGGAGGAGGTGAAGCAGGCGGAGAAGACGGTGGATGAGCTGAAGGAGCAGGTGAGGCCTTGGGGAGGAGCTGGGAAGGGAGGTTTGGGGCCATTTGGGGCCATTTGGGGCATTGAGCAGCTGCTGGGTCAGCTCTGGAGAGCCACACACAGGGATACCGTGATGATACACCCCTGGTCCCATATTCCCTAATTCCAAGCCATATTCCAGCAGTGGGGCAGTGCTGGGCTCTGCCTGGCCGTGGGGTGACTCCTGAGCTCTGGGCATGGATGATGCTCCGTGTTCCCAGGGCTGCTCCATGTGGTCACTGTCAGCTGAGCTGGAATTCCAGCCTCGTGCCCTGAGCCACAGCCCAGGAGCCAGGAACAGCTCCAGGAGCCAAAGCCAAGGCTCTTCCCTCGTGGGGTCTTCCTCCTGGAGCTGCCAGCTGGTCTGGAGGGGTTTGCTCTCCCGAGGGATGCTTTTCCCTGCTCCCAGGAGGGAGCTGAGCACTGTCTGCCCCGCCCTCAGCCCAGGATGGGGCAAGGAATTCCTCAGCCAGGTGCCACAGCCTGGCAGAGGGATCCCACGGCGTGTGACAGGATTTGGGAGCTGCTGGCTGTGGTGCTGAGCTCCAGGATGGAGTGGGATGTGTGTCCTGGCAGGGGGATGGATTGGGATGTGGATTTGGATTGGGTTGCAGAGGGATGGATCAGCATGCCTGTCATGGCAGGGAGGTGGGTTGGGGTGTGGATGTGGATTTGGATTGGATTGCAGGTGGATGGATTGGGATGTGGATTTGGACTGGATTGCAAGGGAATGGATGCGGATGTGGATGTGGATGTGGATGTGGATGTGGATGTGGACGTGGATTGGGATTGGGATTGGATTGGATTGGGATTGGATTGCAGGTGGATGCAGCTCTGGGCGCCGAGGAGATGGTGGAGACTCTGACAGAGAGAAACCTGGACCTGGAGGAGAAGGTCCGGGAGCTGCGCGAGACCGTCGGGGACCTGGTGAGGAGGATTCCCCTGGGATTGGGGCCGCTCCAGGGCTGGAATGCTGGGAGGGCCGGCCCAGCACCGGGAGCTGCGGGATCCAGGGAAGCTCCCCCCCGGGGGTGTGACCGTGTCCCCCTTGCCCCTCCCCGCAGGAGGCCATGAACGAGATGAACGACGAGCTGCAGGAGAACGCGCGGGAGACGGAGCTGGAGCTGCGGGAGCAGCTGGACATGGCCACGGGCCGCGTGCGGGAGGCTGAGAAGCGCGTGGAGGCCGCGCAGGAGACCGTGGCCGACTACCAGCAGACCATCAAGAAGTACCGGGAGCTCACGGCTCACCTCCAGGTGAGACCCCCCTGCTCATCCCGGGGCCCTCCCGGCGGGAGCGAACCCAGGGAA